CTGTTGTTTTAACAGGAGATATCAACTTAGATATTCTTAATGAAAGCGCAAATGTATACACAATGCAGGATCTTAATTAAATGGCGACTCATGGATTAGTGCCTGGTATTAATAAGCCTAAACGACAAACTACCTGCTTGGATCATTTTATGATCAAAACAAATGGTCAGGCCCAAACTATAGTTTTTAATGAGTTTACTGATCACTCACCCATATTACTCTATATTTCGTTATCATTAGTACAAAAGAAAAACCTCAGATGCGAGAAAGTTGACATAAACCTAGAAGAAATTGAAAACGAGATCAAAGACATCTCCTGGGAAAATTACTATGAGTTAAGAGATTGTAATCATGCAGCGGAGTTTATAGTAATCAATATACATAATATAATATCGAAAAACACTTTGATAAGGACAGTACCCAAGAAAAAGCAACCACTTAAACCATGGATAACCTTAGGATTATTAATTGTATGCGAAAAAGGGATAAAATGCACAGAAAACTTAAGCGATTTCCTCATGATGAGAGTATTTTAAACGAATATAAACAATATAGAAACATATGCAATAATATTATAAAAACTCAAAAAAGACACTATTTAAGAAATTTGTTAGAAAAAATACGTGGGGACATCAAAGGTACATGGGAAGTTATTCAAAATATTAATAACTTAAAAAAAGTTTAGCAGTACACCCTTTGATTTAATCTGTTCTTGTGATGAGTCAACCTAAAGAATCACTTAATAAAGTGAATACATACTTTGCGTCTATTGGCAAAACACTAGCTGAAGATACATTAAAGCTACTTGGTGAGACGGAAGAGAGGTTAGCAAGTAGGAGTGTGCACAGTAAAAGCTGTGTCGACTCAATAATGTTCTTACCCACCGACCTGTTAGAGATAAAGAAAATTATACAACAGATGAAAGACGCAAAAACACCGGGATGGGATAAGATTAGTACAAAGATCATAAAACAATCGATAGATATTCTCGTTGATCCACTATGTTATTTGTATAACCTGAGCCTGGAAACAGGGGTTTTCCCAGTTGCTTTCAAAAAAGCCATTATAACCCAAATATTCAAAAGCGGAGAAAAACAATTAGCAAGCAATTATAGACCAATTGCACTTTTAAGCACGCTTTCTAAAATTCTGGAAAAAATAGTTAATATTAGACTTACGAAATTTCTTGACCAAAAAAAACCTCATCTCGTCTAATCAGTATGGCTTTAGGAAGAATAAATCTACAGAAGATGCTGTTTTAAGACTTACTACACTAGTGACAAACTATTTAGATAACAATTATCACTGTGTTGGTGTCTTTTTAGACTTACGAAAGGCTTTCGATACTGTGTCACCGAGGATACTTCTGAAACGAATGGAGCGAATGGGTATACGTGGGATCCCCTATTACTGGTACTCAGACTACTTAAATAATCGAAGCCAGCAGATCAAAGTTGGCACACACATTAGTGATGAAACAAACTGTGATTACGGAGTCCCACAAGGAAGCACTCTTGGACCAACTCTTTTCCTGCTCTACGTTAACCATCTCTGCAACATAGAATTAGAAGGAGCTGATTTATTAATGTACGCAGATGACACTGTCCTGATATTTCATGATCAGACTTGGGACGGTGTGCAAAAACTTACAAAGAGAGGACTGTGTGAAGTTTCGAAGGCTCTGGAAAATAGTCTGCTATCGTTAAACATAGAAAAGACGAAATATCTATGTTTCAGGATAACAAAGGCTACTAAACCCTCCAGCAGCTTTAAAGTCAAGATGCACACTTTCCCATGCAATACAATACCTTTACTTCCTGGCAGACAATGTGGTTGTAAAGAACTAGAAATGGTAAAACACGTGCGATATCTAGGAGTGACAATTGACGAGAAGTTAACTTGGAACCGTCAAATTTCAAATGTCACGAGTAGAGTAAGAAAGCTCATTTATATTTTTAAGAACCTAAGAGAAATTGCAGATAGCGACCTCCTCCTATATGTGTACAAGGCTCTTTGCCAATCTGTCATAACGTATTGTATTGCAGTGTGGGGAGGTGCAGCGAAAACCCATATGCAGCCCACGGACTGGAAAGGGCTCAAAGAGCCATTCTAAAAGTGCTATGTCTTCTCCCTTTCAAATATCCCTCACACGCTTTGTATCAACACTGTAGGGTCCTCACTGTGAGACAATTATACTACAAATCTATAGTTCTCAGGTACCATAGGGAAGTTGTGCCGTCTTTGCCAACGTCTCAGAGAAGGAGAGAGGTATGTCCCATGGTACGGACTCGTACGGAGTTTGCCAAGCGCCAATATTATGCGTTGACTTCACGGGTGTATAACAAATTAGGTAATATTCAACATTTACGAAAATTTAATACCTATAAATTAAAGAAATATGTAGAGGACTTTATGTATAAATTAAATTACAAAGATACAGAACACATGATGGAAAGTATAAAGTGAAACGCACACAAGTACACATACTCTCTCACACACACGCACACACACACACACACACACACACACTCACACACCGACCTAAGAGTACACACAACATAGGAGTACATACACAATTTTTGTACACTGTAAGTAATACATTATGTACAATATAGAAAAGAGACATGAAGAGCATTGACTCCTGTAACACAGGCTTTCCTAGCACAGGAGTCAAAGATCACTGTTTGCACATTTCTTATTTTGTACCAAATGTAATAAAATTGTAAAATTGTGAATTGTGTAACTTTTCCTTATGTGTGTGTCAATAAATAATATATTTTTGGAGTATCTGTATAGTTTTCTCATCTGGTTGGTTTCTATAAATATATAATTATAAATGAAAATGAAAAGATAAATATACATAAATATCAATAAAATAAAATAAATACAAAAAATACACAAATAAATAAAGATCCAACCAGATGGAAGCCCTCGGCAGGGGAGACCAAACGGCCGAGGGTTAGGGGGGAAAGGGAAAGAAACCGGCGGACGATGCGGGCGGTATCGAGGAGCACCGCCTTCTGCATTTGAGCCCGGAGCGGTCAGTCACGGAGTCCCAGTCGCCTCAGATGACCCGAGAGGCTGACTGGGATTAGCTCATTCGCAGAGACGCCTACAGGAATAATTTCGGTCGGCCAACCACCACACATGTCGGTCACCTCGTGAGCCAGGTCCAGATATTTTGTTCGCTTATCTGTTTCGGCTTTCACGAGGTTCTCGTCATACGGAATGGCAATGTCGACCAAAAATATCCTTGACTGTGCCCGGTCCATCAGCACAATATCAGGCTTATTCGCAAGAATAGTCCTGTCTGTGATGATGGCCCGGTCCCAGTAGAGCCTGGCGCGGTCATTTTCGAGCACGGCTTCCGGCAAGTACTTGTAATACGGCAATTTCCGGTCCACGAGACCGTATTTCAGAGCGAGCTCCTGGTGTAGAATTCTGGCTACTAGGTTGTGCCTGTGCAAGTACTCAGAGTTAGAAAGCGCCGAACAACCGGAGATGACATGCCTAAGTGACTCCCCGGGATGGCGACAAGCTCGACAGACGTCGACGGTGCCATCCTTTACGATGTATCTCCGATAGTTGTTGGTCTTAATAACCTGATCCTGTATTGCACAGACAAAACCCTCGGTTTCCCCGAAGAGGTCACCGAAACGTAGCCAGTTGAGGGAGGCGACTGTATCTACGAAGGGCTCATGTAGAGCCCTGTAGTACCTCCCGTGGAGCTCCATCTCCTTCCATACGGTCTCCCGGTCGGAAATGCCAAGCACTGCTGGGTCCTGCCATTGCTCGTTGGCCAAGGATAGAGGGGTAAGCCCTTTATCACTAGAAATGACGTCATTATAGAATGGATCATCCGATCTCGCCAGGAAGTAATGACGGAGGCTGCACACTTCACGATTATGCATAGTGAGCGCGCTCAGAAAGCCACGCCCACCATGCTTTCGCGGCAAGTACAGCCTCATTACCGACGATCTCGGATGATGCATCCTATGGGACGTCATGGTAGTGCGGACTTTTCTATCCAGGGCGTTAAGTTCAGTCTGAGTCCACCTGAGTATTCCAAAGGTATACATAAGGACAGGCATGACCCAACCGTTATATGCGTGTGTCTTATTCACACCGGACAAAAGGCTATTAAGCACTTTGGTCAAGCGTGCATAAAACACGTCGCAAACTGACTGTTTCACACCAGCCTCATCGATACCGATGTTCTGTGACATACCCTGGTATCGGTATGTTTCAGCCTCGGAAAGGGTCCTTAAGTTGACGGGCATAGATAAATCTATGCCCTCAGAGTTAGCAACCCTTCCCCTCTCAACATGGAGGACCGCACACTTATCCGTCCCCAGCTCCATTCCAATGGAACTGCTAAACTCACAAGTGATTTTTAGCAATTCCATAAGATGGGAGCGACTGGAGGCGAATAACTTAAGGTCATCCATACAGAAAAGGTGGGTCACTTTTGTCCCTCCTTTCCGTAGCTGAAATCCTCTCCCGGATCCCTCCAGTAAGGTACTGATAGGGTTCAGGGAGAGGCAGAACCAGATTGGACTCAGACAATCGCCCTGGAAGATACCCCTTCTTATCCTTATGTGGTTCTCCGCAGCCATCATCCGCTCACCCAGATGACAAAGGATCGTACTCCACTGCCACATACACTGCTCGAGGAAGTCTCTCACTGTACAGTCTATCTTGTACAGCTCGAGGACTCTCTTTAGCCATGTATGGGGCACCGAGTCGAATGCCTTTCTGTAGTCTATCCAGGCGGCGGAGAAGTTCCGACGGTTGCGTTTCACCACTTTGCCAATGACCGCGTCAATGAGGAGTGGTTCCTTAGTTCAAAGACCAGCGCCCCGACATCCATTTTGAGCGCGTGACATCACCTGATTTAGCTCCAGGTGACGAGTGATTCTCGCGCTCAAAATGGATGTCAGTGTCTTATATATGGTGGGTAGACACGTAATGGGGCGGTATTTGCTCGGGTCTGTGGTAACCTGGTCTTTAGGAACCAAATGAGTGATCCCAGTAGTGAAGAGGCTAGGGAGCGACTTCTGGTTGAGAGCCTCTTGAAACTGTCGGGCAAGCACAGCGTGACACACCATGAACCCCTTCAGCCAGTAGTGATGCAGTCCGTCGAGTCCCGGACTTTTCCAGTTCGGGGCTCTACGGACCGCCTCAGCTACGTCATCCGGCGTTATGATGACGGGGTCCATGGGCGTAATACTCGCACACTGACTCGCCACAACTTCCGTCCAAGGGCCCTCGCTGTGGTTTACGGGCTCTGACCACAGGCCACGCCAAAATGCGACAGTGTTAGCCTGATCCGGTCCTGGGCCCGCTCCACATGCCTCTGGTCGCTCCAATGATTTGTAGAGCCTCTTCTGATCACTCTGGAAGAGACGATTCTGGTTGAACCGCCTTGACCTCTCGGTAAATCGGCGAATCCGCTTCCCCCAAGCAGCAATCTTTTGCTTCAGGTCGTCTATGCGCTCCGTTAGTTTCTGCGTGATATCCGGCTGGGACAAACTGATATTTGTCCCAGCAAACGCCATTCTAACGGTGCGCACAACCCTCGGTCTATTATTACCCGACCTGAAGCTTATCAGTCTGCCGATAAGGGCCCTTGCCTTTGCGATACGGTCCTCAATTCTTTTTCTCCAGGCTGGGATGGCGCTACTTTGTTTAGTAGCGCGTCCAGCCATGGGAAGTTTGGCGCCAATAATACGGCAAGCTGCCACTGCGGCGCCAAAAAGAACTGAGTCCGTCTCGCAAAGGTCCCGGCTGGCTTCCAAATAGGTTACCAGCATTGGGTTAAGAGCCCTCACGACAGCCCGATTTCGCTTGCTTAGGGGTATGCGGGGAAGTCGCGGTCGATTTTCGAGAGGCATGCTGCGCGTTTCCAAAATCGCCTGTTCCAATATACTCCTCATTTGCTCTAGTTCGTGGGAGACCATTTCATCATCGTCTGAATCACCCACAACTGGAAGATCCATGGCGGCTTCTACGCGTGGCAGCTGGTCTGTCGCCTGAGGAGCCTCATCCCCAGCCGTAGCCAATTCATTCGGTGAGGGAATGGCCTCACGTCGTAGTCGTTCGAGCTCGGCATCATCGAATATTTTCGAGCGCATGATGTACCGAACTCGGTCTGCCAGGTTTTGGTCCGTGACGGGAATAGACGGCTCCAGCTCAGCAAAAAAGCAATGCATCCGAGCCCGATACGCTATCCCCGCAGTTTCTTCCCCTTTCGCCCTATAGTACGCCCGCAATGCGTTTGCGTTCATATCCCTTGTCCAACGCATGCGGCGCACTCCACCAGCGGCGGATGCCGCTTGCCGAGTCCGAGAGGACCCTGCCGACATCAAGCCGTCTGGTGGGGATGATGGATGCGGGGGGCTGGTAGGTGATCTTGCAGCTCCTCGCGCTCGGCTGGCGGCCCGCATGCTGCCGCGTCCAGCGCCAGCTCCAGACGCGCCCCGGCGACCCCCAGGCAGCGGCCCTATACGTTTTCCAATCTTATCCATCTTCCATTTTTGGGCGCCAATTAGCGGGAGACGCCCAGGCCCGGCACAGTTTCATTGTATCATTGTACGGCCGTAAGCACAAACGGGCCTTTGCACCCTGAGTACTGCCGAGGCACGGCGCTCACACCTCTTGGCAAGGCGCTGACTGACTGCACCGACATAGCAGTTTTGTCACGTAACTGTTTCGTCAGCGGGAGATGGGGTCGTCACTTCCCTACGCCTTATCATACCGTGCACAACCTTTCACCCTGAGTACGCTGAACATCTATAAAAGAGTTTTATTATTATTATTATTATTGGGGTATCTATATAATTTTCTCACCTGGTTGGGTTCTATAAATATATAATTATAAATTAAAATGAAAAGATAAATATACATAAATATCTAAATAAAATAAACACAAAAACTACATAAATAAATAAGATCCAACCAGATGGGAGCCCTCGGCAGGGGAGACCAAACGGCCGAGGGTTACGGGGAAAAGGGAAAGAAACTGGCGGACGATGCGGGCGGTATCGAGGAGCACCGCCTTCTGCATTTGAGCCCGGAGCGGTCCGTCACGGAGTCCCAGTCGCCTCAAATGACCCGAGAGGCTGACTGGGATTAGCCCATTCGCAGAGACGACTACAGGAATAATTTCGGTCGGCAGACCACCCCACATGTCGGTCACCTCGTGAGCCAGGTCCAGATATTTTGTTCGTTTCTCTGTTTCGGCTTTCACGAGGTTCTCGTCATGCGGAATGGTAATGTCGACCAAAAATATCCTTGACTGTGCCCGGTCCATCAGCACAATATCAGGCTTATTCGCAAGAATAGTCCTGTCTGTGATGATGGCTCGGTCCCAGTAGAGCTTGGCGCGGTCATTTTCGAGCACGGCTTCCGGCAAGTACTTGTAATACGGCAATTTTCGGTCCACGAGACCGTATTTCAGAGCGAGCTCCTGGTGTAGAATTCTGGCTACTAGGTTGTGCCTGTGCAAGTACTCAGAGTTAGAAAGCGCCGAACAACCGGAGATGACATGCCTAAGTGACTCCCCGGGATGGCGACAAGCTCGACAGACGTCGACAGTGCCATCCTTTAGGATGTATCTCCGATAGTTGTTGGTCTTAATAACCTGATCCTGTATCGCACAGACAAAACCCTCGGTTTCCCCGAAGAGGTCACCGAAACGTAGCCAGTTGAGGGAGGCGGCTGTATCTACGTGAGGCTCATGTAGAGCCCTGTAGTACCTCCCGTGGAGCTCCTTCTCCTTCCATACGGTCTCCCGGTCGGAAATGCTCTGTACTGCCGGGTCTTGCCATTGCTCGTTGGCTAAGGATAGAGGGGTAAGTCCTTTATCATTAGAAATGACGTCATTATAGAATGGATCATCCGATCTCGCCAGGAAGTAATGACGGAGGCTGCACACTTCGCGATTATGCATGGTGAGCGCGCTCAGGAAGCCACGCCCACCATGCTTTCGCGGCAAGTACAGCCTCATTACCGACGATCTCGGATGATGCATCCTATGGGACGTCATTGTAGTGCGGACTTTTCTATCCAGGGCGTTAAGTTCAGTCTGACTCCACTTGAGTATGCCAAAGGTATACATGAGGACAGGCATGACCCAACCGTTATATGCATGTGTCTTATTCACACCGGACAAAAGGCTGTTAAGCACTTTGGTCAAGCGTGCATAAAACACGTCGCAAACTGACTGTTTCATACCAGCCTCATCGATACCGATGTTCTGTGACATACCCAGGTATCGGTATGTTTCAGCCTCGGAAAGGGCCCTTAAGTTGACGGGCATAGATAAGTCTATGCCCTCAGAGTTAGCAACCCTTCCCCTTTCAACATGAATGACCGCACACTTATCCGTCCCCAGCTCCATTCTAATAGAATTGCTAAATTCACAAGTGATGTTTAGCAATTCCATAAGATGGGAGCGACTGGAGGCGAATAACTTGAGGTCATCCATATAGAAAAGGTGGGTTACTTTTGCACCTCCTTTCCGAAGCTGAAATCCCCTCCCGGAGCCCTCCAGTAAAGTACTGAGAGGGTTCAAAGAGAGGCAGAACCAGATTGGACTCAGACAGTCGCCCTGGAATATACCCCTTCTTATCCTTATGCGGCTTTCCGCAGCCGTCATCCACTCGCCTAGATGACAGAGGATCGTACTCCACTGCCCCATACACTGCTCGAGGAAGTCTCGAACTGTACAGTCAATCTTGTACAGCTCGAGGACCCTCTTTAGCCATGTATGGGGCACCGAGTCAAATGCCTTTCTGTAATCTATCCAGGCGGCGGAGAAGTTCCGACGGTTGCGTTTCACCACTTTGCCAATGACCGCGTCAATGAGGAGTGGTTCCTTGGTTCCACGACCGCCGCCCCGACATCCATTTTGAGCGCGCGACATCACCTGATTAGAGTCCAGGTGACGAGCGATTCTCGCGCTCAAAATGGATGTTAGTGTCTTGTATATGGTCGGTAGACACGTGATGGGGCGGTATTTGCTCGGGTCTGTGGCATCCTGATCTTTAGGAACCAAATGAGTGATCCCAGTAGTGAAGAGGCTTGGGAGCGACTTCTGGTTGAGAGCCTCTTGAAACTGTCGGGCGAGCACAGCGTGACACACCATGAACCCCTTCAGCCAGTAGTGATGCAGCCCGTCAAGCCCCGGACTTTTCCAGTTCGGGGCCCTACGGACCGCCTCAGCTACGTCATCCGGCGTTATGATGACGGGGTCCATGGGCGTAATACCCGCACACTGACTCGCCACAACTTCCGTCCAAGGGCCCTCGTTGTGGTTTACGGGCTCTGACCACAGGCTGCGCCAGAATGCGACCGTGTCGGCCTGATTTGGTGCTGGGCCCGTTCCTCTTACTATTGGTCGCTCCAATGATTTATAGAGCCTCTTCTGATCACTCTGGAAGAGACGATTCTGGTTGAACCGTGTCGACCTCTCGGTAGATCGCCGAATCCGCTTTCCCCAAGCAGCGATTCTTTGCTTCAGGTCGTTTATGCGCTCCGTCAGTTTTTGCATTATATCCGGCTGGGACAAACTAACATTTGTCCCAGCAAACGCCATCCTGACGGTGCGCACAATCCTTGGCCTGGTATTGCCTGACCTGAAGCATATCAGTCTGCCGACGAGGGCCCTAGCCTTTGCGATACGTTCTTCAATTCTTATTCTCCAGGCTGGGATAGCACTACTTTGTCCAGTAGCGCGTCCAGCCGTGGAAAGTTTGGCGCCTATAATACGGCAGACTGCCAGTGCGGCGCCAAAAAGAATTGAGTCCGTCTCGCAAAGGTCCTGGCTGGCTTCCAAATAGGTAACCAGCATTGGGTTCAGAGCCCTCACGACAGCCCGATTCCGCTTGCTTAGGGCTAAGCGGGGGAAGTCGCGGTCGATTTTCGAGAGGCGTACTGCGCGTTTCCACAATCGCCTCTTCCAATGTACTCCTCATTTGCTCTAGTTCCAGTTCCTGGGCGACTGTTCCATCATCGTCTGAATCAACACAACTGGCGTGTTCACGGCGGCATCTACATTTGCCGTTTGCTCAGCAAGTTGTGGCGCCGCATCCTCAGCCGCAGCATTTTCACCCGATGAAGGAACAGCCTCACGTCGTAGCCGTTCGAGTTCGGTAACATCAAATGTATTTGAGCGCAAGATATACCGAACTCGGTCTGCCAGGTTTTGCTCGGTGACGGTTACAGATGGCTCCAGCTCAGCAAAAAGTCGATGCATCCTTGCCCGATACGCAAAACCTCCAGTTTCTCCCCCTTTCGCCCTAAAATACGCCCGCAATGCGTTGCTGTTCATCTGGGTTGTCCAACGCATGCGGCGTACTCCACCAGAGGCGGGTGCCGATTGCTGGGCCCGCGAAGACCCTGCCGACACCAAGCCAGCTGGTGGGGATGATGGATACGAGGGGCTGCTGGGTGGTCGTGCAGCACCTCGCGCTCGGCTGGCGGTTCGCATGCTGTCGCGTCCAGCGCCAGCTCCAGACGCACCCTGGCGACCTCCAGGCAGCGGCCCTTTGCGCGTTCTATTTAATTCCATCATCCATTTTTAGGGCGTCATTTAGCGGGAGACGCCCAGACCCGGCGCCGTTTCATGGTGAGGCCATGTGCACAAGCGGGCCTTTGCACCTTCAATTTTTGCCGAGGCACGGCACTAACACCTCTTGGCAAGGTGCTGACTGACTGCGCTGACGTAGCGGTTTTGTCACATAACCGTTACGTCAGCGGGCGATGGGGTCGTCACTTCCCTACGCCTTATTATTATTATGGGGTATCTATATAGTTTTCTCATCTGGTTGGGTTCTATAAATATATAATTATAAATGAAAATGAAAAGATAAATATACATAAATATCAATAAAATAAAATAAATATAAAAGTACATAAATAAATAAAAGCCCAACCAGATGGAGGCCCTCGGCAGGGGGAGACCAAACGGCCGAGGGTTAGGGGGAAAGGGAAAGAAACCGGCGGACGATGCGGGCGGTATCGAGGAGCACCGCCTTCTGCATTTGAACCCGGAGCGGTCCGCCACGTAGTCCCAGCCGCCTCAGATGACCCGAGAGGCTGACTGGGATTAGCCCGTTTGCAGAGACGACTACAGGAATAATTTCGGTCGGCAGACCACCCCACATGTCGGCCACCTCGTGAGCCAGGTCCAGATATTTTGTTTGCTTGTCTGTTTCGGCTTTCACGAGGTTCTCGTCATACGGAATGGTAATGTCGACCAAAAATATCCTTGACTGTGTCCAGTCCATCAGCACAATATCAGGCTTATTCGCAAGAATAGTCCTGTCTGTGATGATGGCCCGGTCCCAATAGAGCCTGGCGCGATCATTTTCGAGCACGGCTTCCGACAAGTACTTGTAATACGGCAATTTCCGATCCACGAGACCGTATTTCAGAGCGAGCTCCTGGTGTAGAATTCTGGCTACTAGGTTGTGCCTGTGCAAGTGCTCAGAGTTAGAAAGCGCCGAACAACCGGAGATAACATGCCTAAGTGACTCCCCGGGATGGCGACAAGCTCGACAGACGTCGACGGTGCCATCCTTTAGGATGTATCTCCGATAGTTGTTGGTCTTAATAACCTGATCCTGTATTGCACAGACAAAACCCTCGGTTTCCCCGAAGAGATCACCAAAGCGTAGCCAGTGGAGGGAGGCTCCTGTGTCAACGAAAGGCTCATGTAGAGCTTTGTAGAACCTCCCGTGGAGCTCCTTCTCCTTCCATACGGTCTCCCGGTCGGAAATGCTCTGCACTGCCTGCATTGCCGGGTCTTGCCATTGCTCGTTGGCTAAGGATAGAGGGATAAGTCCTTTATCACAAGAAATGACGTCCTTATAGAATGGATCATCCGATCTCGCCAGGAAGTAATCACGGAGGCTGCACACTTCGCGATTATGCATGGTGAGCGCGCTCAGGAAGCCACGCCCACCATGCTTTCGCGGCAAGTACAGCCTCATTACCGACGATCTCGGATGATGCATCCTATGGGACGTCATGGTAGTGCGGACTTTTCTATCCAGGGCGTTAAGTTCAGTCTGGGTCCACCTGAGTATGCCAAAAGTATACATGAGTACAGGCATGACCCAACCGTTATATGCGTGTCTTATTCACACCGGACAAAAGGCTGTTAAGCACTTTGGTCAAGCGTGCATAAAACACGTCGCAAACTGACTGTTTCATACCAGCCTCATCGATACCGATGTTCTGTGACATACCCAGGTATCGGTATGTTTCAGCCTCGGAAAGGGTCCTTAAGTTGACGGGCATAGACAAGTCTATGCCCTCAGAGTTAGCAACCCTTCCCTTTCAACATGGAGGACCGCACACTTATCCGCCCCCAGCTCCATTCCATTGGAACTGCTAAATTCACAAGTGATGTTTAGCAGTTCCATAAGATGGGAGCGACTGGAGGCGAATAACTTGAGGTCATCCATATAGAAAAGGTGGGTCACTTTTGTCCCTCCTTTCCGTAGCTGAAATCCCCTCCCGGAGCCCTCCAGTAAGGTATTGAGAGGGTTCAGAGAGAGGCAGAACCAGATTGGACTCAGACAATCGCCCTGGAAGATACCCCTTCTTATCCTTATGTGGTTCTCCGCAGCCGTCATCCGCTCGCCCAGATGACAAAGGATCGTACTCCACTGCCGCATACACTGCTCGAGGAAGTCTCGAACTGTACAGTCTATCTTGTACAGCTCGAGGACTCTCTTTAGCCATGTATGGGGAACCGAGTCGAATGACTTTCTGTAGTCTATCCAGGCGACGGAGAAGTTCCGACGATTATTATTATTATGGGGTTTCTATATAGTTTTCTCATCTTTTTGGGTTCTATAAATATATAATTATAAATGAAAATGAAAAGATAAATATACATAAATATCAATAACATAAAATAAATATAAAAATACATAAATAAATAAAAGCCCAACCAGATTGAGGCCCTCGGCAGGGGAGACCAAACGGCCGAGGGTTAGGGGGAAAGGGAAAGAAACCGGCGGACGATACGGACGGTATCGAGGAGCACCGCCTTCTGCATTTGAGTAGTAATCATGGATAAGTAATCACGGAGGCTGCACACTTCGCGATTATGCATGGTGAGCGCGCTCACCATGCATAATCGCGAACCATGCATAATTATTATTATTATTATTATGTGTGTATTTTTACATTATCTTTATATATGTAATAAAATGACTGCCTCGTTGGTCTAGTGGTTGTAGTAGTGCGATTGCTGATCATGAGGTCGGCACATCCCGTCCCGGGATTTGAACCGTCCTGGGTTCAAATCCCGGGTCGGGCCAAAAATTTATTATTGAGTTTTTCCGTCAAGAAATTCTCAGTAGTTGCCCGGAGTCAGGAAGTTGGCGTTGTCTCACCTCCGCGCCTCGGAAAGCATGTAAAGCCGTTGGTCCTGCGCCTGATCTCTCTCCGGTTGTATCGGTTTACCGTCCCATCGGATTATGAGAGTTAGGGAATAGAGAGTGCACCTGTGCTTGCGCATACACTTGGGCACTATAATCCTGTCCTGCACCGATGGCTAGCCTCCGTTGAGGCAGGCTGCCCTAGCCGGAATTCGGTCTGGAGGACATTATTATTATTATTATATATGTAATTAATCCGTCCATCTGTATGTGGCTGAACTGCTACTAAATAGCAGGACCGATTTTGTTGAAATTTTGTGTGTGATTAGTTTTTTAAAAAATTCAAAGAAATTAAAAAAAAGTGTGATTAGTTGATTCTGGAATGGCTTGTATTCACAATTGGACTCGGTAGGTGGCGCTGTTGTCAAGATCCAGATATCAACCCTGCGAGGCCAGGGCGGATCGCCAGTATTTTTATATAATGCCTTTAGTTTCAAGCAAATATTAGTGATCTGTAGTACAAGTAGCGGCACGTAGGTCTAGCGCTGAACGAAACGTGGAGTGGACGCGCACAAATTGAATTGCACGAATTCCACTGAAGAGCTAATCAGTGCGTGCGAGCGATACGTACGAGCCAATCAGCGCGACATATGCGCAATAACGGTCACCGCTAGACTTTCGTGCCGCGAGCGATATTAAATCTATGGGCATAGGTAATTAACTTAAAAAAAAAATTATTTCTTCATTTTTATTTCGTAGGATTTGTCGTATCATAGACAGACGATCGAAGAACCAGTACCAGACGTCCCGCCCTTTGATGCTGCTATCCAGTGCGTTCTAAGTTCTGTTCAGTGCGTAGTAAGTAAGTAAGTTTCCTTTAGTCGCCTCTTATGACATGAAGCGATAGAAAAGGCGAAGCGGACGAAATGAGGCGATAGATTTTCTTAACACACGAGGAAAGAAATCGACCAGAGACAAAATCTTCTAAGGAGCGTAAATTTTTTTTATCTATTTTGGTACGGTTGACACATAACGATAGTATTATTAAAGTTGGTAAGAATTTACCTCGCACACATCTACTCAATAAAATAAAATGATGTGTTTTACGTTTGAAGAGCACCTCCCGCCCTCCCTCAATCGCGTGCACTAATCCCGTCACCACTAATCCCGTCACCACTAATCCCAGTACCACTACTCCCAACACCATTATACTAGGAAAGACACTACATCGAAGATAATACGAAACGTGCACTGCTAAGCGGTCAGCCATCGCAGTCTACATCACCTGAGGGATACCTTGAGAGGCGAAACGCGCTTCGTATTATCGTCGATGGTGTGTCTTTGCTATTGTAGTAGTGTTGGGAGTAGTGGTGCTGGGTTAAGTGGTAACGGGATTAGTGAACGCAATTGAGGGAGGGCGGGAGGTGCTCCTCGAACTAGTTAATTTGTATATATAGGCGCTGCAAGATGCGATCGGGGCAGTATTGGATTTGGCGAGACAAGCGAAGCTTCGGAGCGGAATAAAGTGAATTGGTGTGTTTAATTATTAGTGTTTTAAGTTTTAATTTGTGTAAAGTAAATTAAAGTGTTAATTTAGGTAATTTTATCGGCAATTTTTATTGTCACGAACCTCAAGCTCGTAACAGTATTATTATCATTTTATTTTATTGAGCGGATATAGGCGAGGTAATTCTTACCAACTTTAATATAATGGATTTCCGCAAAGTAACGCCTGATTCTATTAATTACAATAATACCCTTTCCAACGAAACGAGTTCTCTTAGTCCTTAGGAGTGGCAACGCATCTCCATTTTGTTTTGTAATCGAGGATAGATGTAGATGTCTATGGGCCGCAACATCC